GGAGATCTCTAGTTAGATTATGTCTACCTGTGATAATGTGTCCTTGGGTTTGACTGTGTTTTGGTATTTATAGCCCTATTCAAACTATTTAGTGTAAGGGCTAAGGAGAGAGCTCAGGGCAAAAGTGCTTGCCTGGCAAGCATAAGGTCCTGGGTTTGAGCCCCATACCAAAATAAGCAAACAAAAACTGCTGACCAAATTATTTAGTGTAATATTTGAGGATCTTCATAGTGTCCAACTTTCTTGTAGGGCTTTAATTCCCCATACTGGTTAGTGAAACAAACTATAGTAATATTGACAATAGAAGGACAACTTGGATATTGGCGTACAATAAAAAAAAAAAATTAAAAGCAATAGTTGTGCCACCATTAGCAATAGAAAAATGTTCAGCAACATTAATAAAGTCAAAGACTAACTAGTTGTTGACATTCTAGATGAATCGGTAGTAGTTACAACTGTACCATCCCTAACAATAGGAATGAGATCTGCAGTAATAATGTAGACACAAAAGCCTTATTGTCGATAGTAATTACCTAAGAAAAGCAGTAGCTGTGCCACCATTAGCAATAGAAAAGAATTCAGCAGTAGGTTCAGATATGGTAGCAGCCTGAAGAGGAGGCCTATGGAGACCTGGGTCTGTGTGGCAGCAGGGGTAGAGAGAGCTTGGGACATATACCTGCCCGGTGCCATTGTCACCAAGATCATCAAGGAGGCACTCCTGGATGGTGTCAACATCTGCAAGGAAACCCAGAGCTAGAGCTCCACTGCTAGCATATTGGTGCATTAAGCCACAGCCTGTCCCAGCAGTCTCTCTGTGAAAGGTAAGTGCAAGACACTTAGTGCCAGTGATGTGCTTTTGGCCCTGGAAGAGATGGAGTTCCCACAGTGCATTACCCCATTCAAAGAGGCTTGGAAACAAATAGGTGGGAACAAGAAGGCAAGAAGGAAGTGTTAGGGCTGGCCAGATAGCTCAGCAGACTAAAGCGCCTCCTGCTTAGGCACCTGCTTCGATCCCTGCTTTGATCCCCAGCACCACAAACCATGCCAGCCTTGCCCCCGGGGTGTGCTACAACTTCAGTTGAGACTAGGTGTGGTGACACAGCACGTGCTTATAATCCCAGCTCTTAGGAGAATGAAAACAGGTGGATCACTACAGGTCTGATCTGTATAGTGAGACCCTATAGACCCTGTACCAAAAAAAAAAAAAAAAAAAAAAAAGATTTAGAACAAAAGAAAGACAGAGGAAAAAAAACAGATTCATGGGCACTGTATAAGGACAATGATGAGGATGAAGAGAGGCTAAAAGAAGAGAGCAAAAAGGAGAAAGCAGACAACTAATAGAATGGGCAGACTGGCACTGTGGAAACTGCCGCTCTAAAAGATGCTACATATTTATGTGAAGTTTTTCCTTGTTAGAGTAGTCTTAGATACAAATGCCTGAGGTCAAAATTAAAAATGACTGTAAATATCAAAACCAGTGGTTTACTGACTCAGATCATTGGAGTAGCAGAATTCTGTTTTTCTTAATCAGTCTTGATTATGGCAGTGGGGATTCTAACAACTAAATAAAGTAGCACCTTAGTCCCTCTTAAATACTTATGTGTATGAGTAGGAAGCTTTCTGGTTGCGTCTTCCTGGCTCTTCAGAAAAGTAATGATTTCCATATTGCCTGCTATGATCCAGATCCCAGAAGCAGTGAAGAGTTAGGAAAAATTGGGACTTCGTTCATGGTTAATGTTTGACTGTATGGTAGTCTATTAAGAGTAGTTATAATGGGCTGTGCACAGTGTTACATGGTTGTAATTCCAGCTACTTGAGAAGCTGAGACAGGAGAATTGCAAGTTTTGAGCCCAGACTGGGCAACTCACTAGACCCTGTTAAAACTTTAAAACATAAGAAAAAGCTGGGAATATAGCTCAGCACTCCCTGGGTCCAAATCTCCAGAACTGTTCTTTTTGTTTTGTTTTGTTTTGTTTTGTTTTGTTTTAAAGAATTCAGCAATAATGGCATGCATAAAAATTAAAGCTTAATAATAATGATAATAAGGGATGGGGAGATAGCTCCACAGTCTTAAGCACCCACCTGGCAAGTGTAGGAACCCGAGTTTGATCCCTGGTACTGCCTGCTATGCTGGCCCCAAAACTGGGTGTGGTGGTGCATACCTATAGTCCCAGTGCTTGGGAGACTGAGACAGGAGAAGCACTATGCCTCTGAATTGTGTAGTGAGACCCTATACATAATAAACGAAAACAAACTAATGATAATAAAAATGGAGGGGGTGGGGCAGAGAAAAGAAGTACAGTTTGACACTGTGATAAATATAAATAAAATTAAGAATAAAATTAAGAAAATATTAGAAAAAAGACAAAAATAAAAAGTAAAAGCAGAAAAGAAGATAGGGAAAAATAAAAAACAAAAACAACAAAAAGGAATGAAAATGAAATAACTTTTTTTGGTACTAGAGATTGAACTCAGGACCATGCACTTGCCAAGCAGGCACTTACACTGCTGAGCTATCTTCCTCAGCCCCTGAAAAAGAGAAATGAGTCAAAAAAAATTCCTCCCAATGATTGGGTGAGTGGTTGCTTATAGAACCTGTAGAATTGGGATATACCAGATAAGTGCAGGATAGTGAGTCAGAACTCAGGGCCTGTTTTGTTTCCACACCCATTTTTTTTGCTGTGCATGTGCTGAGGCCTGGCCTGCTTTTCCTGCTGGGCATTGTGAGTCAGTGGTATGTTCTCTGCCTCCTGGCTCTGTGCACTCCTGCTGCCTGGTGTCCATGCCTTTCTGTGCATCCCACCTCACTACTGTCTCCAGCTGGCTTTCTGGACTGTGGGTGCATAAGATGTTTCCCTACCTCAGAGGCCAATCGTATTGGCAGATGGGAAGGGCAAGAGATGACTGAGCTCTGTGCTAGAAATAGGCAGTAGGAGGGCCAGGCAATCTGCTGGATTTAATGGGAGCACTTTAAGTCCCAGCTCCCTCCAGAAGCCCCGCCACCAGCCTAGCTTCTTTCCACGGAGTGCTGTCTTCTGTGTCTTTCATAACTTCAGCACATTGTGCTTAAACTTGTCAAGGGTTCTGTGAATAGCATGGCCCTTCTCTGTGCCTCCTGTGGCTCCTTTCATACAATCAGTGTGGTAGGAGTGACCCCCAGGCCCTGAAATGAAGTTGTTGAGTGACTTATGTTTCTCCAGAGTAGCTCAGTCTTAATAAACCCCCTCTAAAATGGCTTCTGATTTTATCAGTCCCAGGAATGGGGGAGGCTGCAGTGCATTTCTTCTCCATCTCTAGCCTACATATTCAAAGTAAAGCCCCACCTGTATTTGCAGTTTTTAATACCATAGGTTTTTCTTGGGGCTGGCTCTGTCCACTGAGCCTTTGCTTTTCTGAGGAGAGTCTGGCCCTTTACAGGCTTACCTTTTGTTTGTGGGAGTTAGGGTTAGTGTTTCAGATTGTTTTGATCTCTTCCCTGTGGTATCTTCTCACTAGTATCTAGTTTTCCTGTTGACTTTTTGATTCCTGAAGCTCTGCTTTTGTTTTCCTTCCCTGAGTTGTTGCTTTCCAAGTATCTCCATTCCAGGTTTCAGAAGGCTACATTTCCAAGTTTGATCCCCAGTACTGCAAAATAAACCAAACCAACCAAAACCAAGCTAGAAGGCTACATTTCCCTGCTGTTCCTTACTCCTCCATTTTGATTGATTGATTGATTGATTGATTGATTGATTGATTGAGCCGGGGATTGAACTAAGGCCCTTGCGCTTGCTAGGGAAGTGCTTATTCCACTGAGCCATCTCCCCAGCCCACTCCTCCATTTTTAATCCCCTCCAAAAGATTTATTTTTTGAAGGAATGAATTTGATAAAAAAGCTGGGACAAGTAAACCGCGGGGTAGAAAATGAACACACTTGTGGACTGGAGATGTTGCTCGGTGCAGAGCGCTTGGCTAGTGTGCATGGGCCTTGGAGCCAGTTCCTAGCCTTGAGAAAAAGAGCTGTTTTGTCAGTTTTAAAAATAACTAACTACAACAAAGAATTACCTGAAAAAGACTCATAGAAGTTTAAAATGAAGGTACTCCAAGCTGAAGATTAATGTCTGGTAAGTGGAATTTAAGCAGCGGCACTTGTTTTTGGACACCTTGCTGGAAGACGCACATGCCATGCTAGTAACTAGACTTGAACAGAAGAATGATCATTTGTCCCAGTAGAACTAGATGAAGCTTTGGTTTTGAGTTACATGACCATTGAAGTTTCTCTATGTTGCAGTGCCAGGTGAAGTTGTATACTTTGTCAAACTTCTCATTAAACTTCCATCAAAGTACTAACCAGGCCCGACCCTGCTTAGCTTCTAAGATCAGATGAGATCGGGCGCATTCGGGGTGGTAAGGCCATACACTTAAACTCATTTCTCATCACAAAGATAGATCTTAATCTCACTCCTGTACCACTGTAGGCAAGAATGCTTGATGTGGTCCCAGGTGGCTTTTTTTGTATTACATCTCTCCAGTTTCAGCACACCCTTCCCAGCTCTGTTGCATCTTTTCCAACATGTCTGGTTTTAGTCACTGCCTTGCTGTTGCACATGGTTACCAGGGAGCAAGAGCTGCCGGTGGTGACAGTTTCCTCTGGGGAAATGCAGGCCCATCACAGGCCCAGGGCAGCTGCTCTCACTGTGGAGGCTGATGTATATTTTAAATGTGTCTTTATTTTCTATTGTTTATTGAAAGAGTATAAATCTTATTGTATTTATTCTGTTGAGAAGTGGGAGTTTTGGCTTACTATTTTATATTCAAATGTTTCTTACCCAGAATGATTGCTAAGTAAATAGATTTGTTAATTCTTTTTGAAAAATTTTAACAGAACTAATGTATAGTGTTTCAAACTTGTCATTGCTAAAAATTCAATCACTACCATATTTTCATTTTGTATAGTATCCTGTTGTCTGCATAAAGGGGGGACGCTAGATGGTATACTTACTGTTAAATTTCTGACTTTTTAGACCTAAAGATTGCCTTCGGTCTATTATGAGAAGGGTGAACCACAAAGATCCTCACGTTGCTATGCAAGCATTGACTGTAAGTGGCTTTGTTTTAAGCTGTATCATAAAGTTATCTGTCAGCATCGGTCCCTTTTAACTTCTGAATGTATGTTTTTAGCTTCTAGGCGCATGTGTATCAAACTGTGGCAAAATTTTTCATTTAGAAGTCTGTTCAAGAGATTTTGCTAGTGAAGTAAGCAACGTATTAAACAAGGTAAGGAATGTTGTTTCCAGAAATTAAGGTCACCTTTTTATTGTATTTCATGGTTCATTTCTTCACGTTTTAAATCACACAGAACTGTAGGGTTATTCTGCGCTTGTGTCCATGTCTTCCCCTGCCCCTACCTTCTAGGCTGTGTCTGTCCATTATATAAGTAGTAAATACTAGATTTTACTAGAGGCTACAAATCCACATAACTTTGAAAGTTGATATTTTCAAGCCAAGTTAAAGTATAATGAACTTCTTGTTTGCATCATTCCTTTTATCTAAGAAAATATTTATATTTCTCTGTCTAATGAAACAATAGAAATCTATTTTAGGCTTTTTTTTTTTTTTTTTTTACCATAGAGATATTTTTCTAATATGCAGCCCTTCAGAAGTACTGCCAAAATATAGGACCAGAAAACAAGGATTGACTGTAGAGTTTCTATCTTCTATTAATAAAGCTATGACCCATCATGGAGTCTTCATACTGTTCTGTTAGTCCATGTGGCTGTACCTGCAGCTAGAGTTTGTGCAAAATACTTAAGTGCAGTTGCTGCCAGAGGCAGCCCCAAACAATCCTGAGATGGGGTGGGGTATAATTTTAAAGAAAGATGCACTGAAGACAGGGTGAGGGTCCATAGCCTTTGTTAACAGGACTTATGAACTGAGGACTGCACTGTCCTTATGATGGACAAGGTGTTCTAATCAGGTGTGTCTGTAATCCATGGATAAGGTTAAGAAGTTTGTATGACAGTTCACCTGTTCAGGGCCAGAGCAGGTCTCTGTGTGTTTACCAATGGGTTTGATTTTTTAGTGTGTCAGACAGCGGTAAGTGGTAATCCCTTTTCTCTTTTATGCAGTTACTTTTAGTTATTTTCTACTAATTAGTAAGCATTGTCTTTTTGTGTCTTGAATATTTATGAAGGGATTAATATTTTCTATAACATTCAGTATACAAACTTAGGCAGTAGTGCAAGCAACTGTTTTAAAGAACTACATATAAGTGAGAGGACTTATTTTCCAAATGTTTTACAGTTTTTGTATTAGTTTTACTTAATGGGGTGAAATATTTTGAAAAAACAAGGTTTTCAAGAAATTTAACTGTAAAATCCCACAAATCAGGCTTTAGAAGATTATCATGAGAAAAACACATTCATGAACACTAAAGATCCAAGAATTAAGAATGGAAGAACTGTACATTTGTTCTCTTTTTTTTTTTTTTTTTTTTTAATTTATTTGTGTGTGTGTGTGTGTGTGTGTGTGGCCAGCTCAGCCCACCAGGGGGCGGGGTGGCTGGCATGTGGTGCTGGGGGATTGAACCGTGGTCCCTGTGCTTTGCTAAGCTTGTTCTAAGTAGGTGCTTTAGACTACTGAGCCATCTCACCAGCCCCCTACATTTGTTCTCTTGTTGTAGTGATGTTTCATTGTTCTTCAAAAAGCAAACCAAAATAAACTACTTTTCCTTGCCTTTGTATAAAGCATGTCTTTTTATCTTATAAGTTATTACATAGTTAATATGTTTCAATTTCAAATAAGTACATAACAATATATATGTATTTTTTTGGTACCAGGGATCAAACTCAGGACTTTGTGCTTGCCAGGCAGGTACTTAAGCCACTGGGAACTATACATAACAGTATCTTCTCTTCTTTTTTCATATTGTGAGAATAAGTTTTTAATAGCTAACTATTCCTATTTTCAGATTTGTAATCTGTGATTCAGAAAGAGATCTACAGTTCTTTATTATAGTTTTATATTAAAAGAGTCTAAAGCCAATAGTTAGCAAATAGAAGTTTTCATTGATTTCTTTTCTGATGCCTTAGGGTCACCCTAAAGTATGTGAGAAGTTAAAAGCTCTCATGGTTGAGTGGACAGATGAATTTAAGAATGATCCGCAGCTTAGCCTGATATCAGCAATGATAAAGAACCTTAAGGAGCAAGGAGTTACCTTCCCAGCTATTGGCTCTCAGGTATTTTGTAAAGTTTGTAAAGTTACTTGGAAATAGCTGCACTTACTGGAATTTTTCTTTTTTTCCTCCATTTCTAGGTTTTTACTCAGAAAAATTTTTGTTAATCATAGCCTAGTATTTAAAAGTTAAAGAAAATGTGACAGTAAAATTCTAATATGTTTCCACTTTTACTTTCTCACTATCTCTTCTTTGTAAGTCATTTGATTTACACTTTATAATTTAAAATTTTTATATAGTTTTTATATGGATGTGGTTGCTTTATTGTATCAGATAACACTGACAATTAAATGCTCCTCATACTATAATTTTATCAATAAAGAACGACAGTTTAAAAACCAAGGTATTTTTGAAATTTAGAGATGAGTTTGTATGTTCGAGTAGGAAATTTATAAACATTTGAATTTATTTTATTTTCATTTTTAATTTTTTATCAGTATCTTGTTTGCATTATGTAATGATTACATTACATTCCTCTTGGGCAGTTGGTCATGTTCATAGCACATCTCGGGTCCTTTTTCATCTGGGCCCCATCTGTGGATCTGTGTCCCATTTGACGAGATCGGGTGCGTTCAGGGTGGTATGGCCGTAGACCATGTCCCATTTGAGAAAGGTCTGTCTCCCTGCTTGTGCTGTCCATCTTCTGTCTTGCTCCTTATCTGTACTCTGCAGTTCTCATATAAGAAACCATGTGATGTTGAAGTACACATGTCTGATTTATATCATGCAACATTGTGGTCTTAAGTGCATGCATTTTCCTACAAATGTATCAAGTTCACCCTCCTTTATGGCAGAGTAGTACTCGCTTTTGTAGAACTATCACATTTTCTTTATCCACTTCTTTGTTGGTTAACATATAGGCCCCTTCCAAGATTTAGCTATTGTGAGCTCTGCTGCTATAAACATGGATATGCTCTGATCACTGTATTATAATAACTTTCATTTTTGGCACAAGATACCTAAAAGGGAAATTGCTGGGTTGAATGGAATTTCTAGTTTTAGTTTTTTGAGGAATCGCCAAACTGATCTCCATGGTGGTTATAGTGGTTTACATTCTCATCTGCAATGTGGAAGGCTCCTTTTTCCTGCAGCCTCACCAACATTTATTTGATTCTTCTCAATGATAGGCATTGAAAATGAGAAGGAATAAGTGGGGTAAGTGGAATGAGGAGCACATGAGGCACCTCATTTCTCAGTAGGCCCTTACCGGTGTGTGAGTGTCCCTTCTCTCTCACAAATACAGGTAACTGGAGGGCTTTCTCTCCGCTTTCACGTGACATAGAGCTTATGTGATCGTAATGGGATCCATCTGATGGGTGTCAGATGGGAACATGTGATCACTCCACAGAGGTTTAAAGGGCATGGTAATTTCGAATATTTTCTTTATCTTTGATATGGATCAGGACATATTATGAGTAGCCTGAGCTCTCAGTTGTACAGGGTTACCTTTGGGCCATTGACCTCTTCTAAGAGGTCTCAGTTTGGAAGCTGTCTCTGTTAATCTAACCCTCCAGAGCGATTGTGAGGTGCCCCTGAGGTACAGGTTCTGTTATTGTCCTCACTTTATTGTTGAAGAACTTGAGTCACAGAGAGGCTTTATCTACCTCATGTTACACCCTAGAATGAGGTATGGGATTTGAACCCATGTTTTATTCCATACCTTACATTCTAACCACCTTTACAGTGTCTTATTTAAAAGTATTATCAGAGGAACAAAGGAGAGAGTGTCTGGTTAAAAGGCTTAGGAATACTTCATTGAGAAAGGGATACTTTAGCTATTTACTGATTCAGTAAGGGAAGAAAGATGGATGGAATAAAAGGAGTCTGAAGAGGAAGAGTGTTGTAAGTAGGAGCAAATGTGTGCCAGAGTGGAACAAGTACCTGTATGGAGACTGAGATCCCCTAACGGTCTCTGTGGCCAGTAGGAAGGTTGAAAACAAGGCTGGTAAAACTAGTTGGATTCTGATCTGTGTCCAGAGAATGCAGAAACCAAGCCATGGAAATCATGGTTTTGGAAGCTTGTAATTCCAGGAGTGTGAACCAGTTTATCCATTTGTTTACTAATACATTGCGTCAGTTACAAAATGTGCTCAATATAGGCAGTAACATACTGTCAAAGTTAACTGTGCATTTTGATTTACAAAATAGGATTTTGTGAGCATTTATTTTTATTATGTAGAAATACGGGTTCCTAAGAACAATATTTTGACTTTCGATCTGGAAGGAAGCAATAAACAATAACTGGAGTAGACATAACACTTAAAAAGAAACAACAGACTGTTTCAAAAGTTATCTACTTTCCTTTCCTCATTCTTTTTCTGGTTTTAAATTTTAAAAAAACAAACTTTTCTCTAGTTTTTTTCTGCTTACTGTTAAACTATACAAATCTGGAGGTATGTATTTGACCTGTGTCCAGTTGCTCTCAGTCTTTTCTTCCAGTGAATTTCTTTTTAGTAGTGTTGACACTGTTTGTTTAATTGTTCTTAGGCTCTACTTTTTTTCCCCTCTTCTACAATTTTAATTTTTATTACCCATGGTGATTCCATTTGCTATAGGGAATCTGTACATGTACATAATATGTCATAATTCTTTTGTGTCCCTTTTCCCTTCCCTCCCTCCCCTATTCTGGTTTGCCCCAATTCTGACTCTTCCTTCTCTTCCAAGGATGTCATCCAATTTGGATGTCCATCTTCTTCAGAGGCCTGCAATTGATTGGTGAGAGGGGCCTCATCAGCACTTAGATTAGGTGTGACTATAGGAAAGTGGGAACAATCCTCAACTATTTTATT